ATGTTTACTATGTTTACTACCAAGTCTCTAATGAAATATAACATGCTCTTTCTAAAACACACCCAAACTTTACTATAGAATTACCAGGGCACTGAATGAAAACCTGTGTAAACTTTACTATAGAATTACCAGGGCACTGAGTGAAAACCTGTGCCACTCATTGCTTTCTTAAGGGCTGCTAAATTGTTGCCCAAAGACCAAATTTTTGTAAAGAAAGCTTTATTGGGAGCAAACACACACACTCATTTGCTTGCATAATATCTACCAATGCTGCTGTTTTGCTCCACCGCAAACAGGGAGCCATTTATTGCAACAAAGAGACCAAATGGCTGCAAAAACTAAAATAATTATGACCTGACTTTCAAGTTGGCTGTGGCCAGGAGTGGTGACACACACCAGTAAGCATAGCTCTCAAGACACTGAGGCAGGAGAATAGTGAGTTCAGGTGTGGGTTGCCTTAAGAACCTGTCAAAAACAAAAACAAAGTCTGCTGATGCTCACTCTAAAAATTCTTTCAACGAATTATGTCCTCAACACATGACCACAAGCATGTTGCTTATCTCAGGTGATAATCTGGAACAGAGATGTGTCTATTGTCACCAGAGTAGACACTAAACATCAGTGAATTGCCATAGTGAGCCTTAGATGCTCCTCTTAGATGACAAGTAACCCACCGAAAGGGCCAGGAGGACTTCGGTTAAAACCTCATTTTGCCACCACCAGCTTAACCTCTGGTGCACGGCTTCTGTAAAATACAGACGTTGGAAAGGAGAGGGAGGGGGGTCTGAAAGTTGGACAGAGGATTGAGTCTCCTTAAAAATAGATTTTAACCCATGTGTAAAGGGCCTTCGGGAAACTTGGGAATGGCATCAGAATAGGGTCACAGAGTAGCAGTTTAGTCACAGCTTCTTGGAGGAAATGACGCCTAGCCTGAGTCTCAAATAATAAAGAATTTGTGCTGTTAGGGTCAGTGGAGAAAGCAACAAGAATTCTAAAGCCATCTGGAATTCCGAAGATATGTGAATCTTACAGCCCAATATCTTCTAAGCTGTCTGGGGGTTTTGTTTTTGTTGTTTTGTTTTTTGAGACAGGAGTCTGACTCTGCAGTCCTGGCTGTCCTGAAACTCGCTGTGAAGGCTAGACCAGGCTAGCCTCAAACTCACTAGTTCTTCCTGCCTCTGCTTCCCAAATGCTAAGATTAAAGCATGTGCTACCATACACAGCTCCTTCTAACCATTTGAGGGGAAAATCTTTTTTTTAAGGTCACTTTATTATTGAGGTCACTTGCAAATCTTTAAAAAGATAGCATCTATGACAGGTACTTAAGTGGTATAGAGATGACTACAGTGTGGAAGACCAGCTGTGCTTGGGATAGAGAATGTCCAAAAAGGCTTTGGACAAGGAGCCATTCCAGGACTAGAGTAGAGATCAGCAGGAGGCCAGATAACGCTATGTTCGATCAAATGGGTTAGGCAGCAGTTATTTCCATACGGCTAAACATTCACCCCAATAGACTCTGAAAAAGGGACAGTGCTGTGAGTTGACCTAGCCATGCAACTTCATCGAGAATGATCCCTAAGTGGCTGCCAGCACTCCCACAATGCTGTCTGTTGATGCCAGTCAAGCTCATTGAACAAATTTGAGTGCCAGCTGTATACTAACACTTTGCTCCAAGAGCACAGCATGTAAAAAAAAGATACAAAAGAAAAAGACAACGTGTCTTTGTGGAACTTATTCTAGTGTGTTATCCTTGTGCTGAGGGAAGTGAGCTTTGACATCCACTCCTTAGAATAGCGTGCTGCCCTGAGCAGTCCCCAACAGACACTTCGCCCAAGAACTTGGGCCAAACCTGTGCCCCATCTTATCCTTTCTTGTAGCAAGACAGTCAGATGCTGCTTGCTTAATTCATTCTTGTTTTCAAGTCAATAAACCTTAAATCCCCCAGGAATTTTTGTACCAGGAACCCAAAGAATCTTCAGTGTTGTAACCTTTTTTCCCCTCTTTTTTTTTCAGCTCTGGGATTTGAATTCAGAACTTCACAAATTCTAAGTCAGCTTCTGAAATGAATTTAGGTACCAGAAAATGCATACCACCTATTATCTAACCTATCAAAAAAGTCAAATTAATTATGTAACAATCAGTGAATAGACAAGTAAATTATGGCTTTTACATGAGGTTAAATCCAAAGCAGTCACTGAGAAGGTATGTTCAAAGAGTGTGCAATAATGTAGGGAGATACATGTCATAAAATGTTAGCAGACCCCGCTGATGGTTCAGTAGGTAAAAATGCCTGAAACACAAAGCCTGATACCCCAAGTTTGGATCTTAAGAACCCACAGAAAAGGCCAATGCAATCCAGAGCCCCTGCCTTAAGATGGAGGTAGGGACAAAAATGCTCACAAGTTCTTGGGCCAAGTTACTTGGAGTATGCACGACACACACACACACACACACACACACACACACACACACACACGCACACACACAGACTCACACACTCACTCACACACTCACATACCTACTCACACACTCACACATACACACACACAAAGATTAATTTTTGAAAGCCTCAAAATGTTAATCAGGTAGAACAAAAATCATATATTCAAATATATATAAGAAGCATGTGTGAAAATCTGTTACCACCCATAAAGAATGACAGACATGTTTTGATACATGCATAACATATTTACATACTAAAAGTGTATTTCTATTCTTTTAAATTCCAGTTTTTGCTTTAGCAAGCATTAATTATCTTGTGTGACTAAACCAGTAACAGTATTAATAACAGTGCTGCTTTTAAAAACCAAGAACAAGTATGAGCAGCCTATCACTGTGGTGAGAGTCCAAGACGGGGTTCCAAATCGGCCAGGTATCAACTTTGAGTCCTCAAACTGCCATGTGGCTGGGGCACCTTACTGAACACAATCTGTCGTTTGTTCCAGTTTCCCCGTCTGCAAGATGGGGTTAAACAGACTCCCTGCCTAATCGGTTGGTGTAAGGATTAGTACCTGTGTTGTGGAGAGTATTTGGCGAAGAGTCCAACATCAAGGAAGGGCTCAAAACAACAGCCTGGAGGGGCTCAGGAGTCTCAGAGGAAGAGCAGAGACACGGTGGAAAGGTCCACAACTATCCTAGAGACAGGTCATGCAGAGCTGTGCTTTCAGGAGGCAAATTTCTCTCGGACAGACTCAATGCCCAGACTGTCCTAACCATTTAAAGTTACTCTGAAGATGATGGACAACATGTGTGTATTTATTTTATGGGCAATTAATCCCTCATTTGTTTTAAAGGGCACTGGTCATATTTTGTTACACAAAATGCCTTTGTGGTTTTAAAAAAAGTCCTGAAAACTATGTTCATAGGATCGTCAGAAAACATTCATCATTTTTCTATATGAAATGGCCTCGTAAAAATACAGTTTATGGCCAGGCTATGGTGGCATGTGCCTCTAATCGCAGCACTCGAGAGGCAGAGATGGGGGAATCTTCTTTGTGAGTTCCAGGCCAGTGGAGGCTAAGTAATAAACCCTGACTCTAAAAAGTTGGGGGAGTGTTGACAGTAGTAAATTTGAAGATAATAAATGTCCATACATCATATTTTCTTGTCAAATATCTATTTCCAAACAAGCAAAACCAATGCTTGTCTTTTATTTCCTATACCCAACATCCTTCTTTCTGTACATCTGTATAAAATTAAGTGAATTACCCTCAGATGTTGTCCACAACAGGCTTTTGGTTTATTGGACAAGCATTAATGTATTAGTACTTGCCAATACTTACCTTTTTTTAAATGAATGAAAACTCCTTTAACACTGCATGATTACTAAATCTTGACCAATAAGGAAGTTAAGGAAGGACAGGTTGAACTTTGTATGTCTGACCCTTTCTTTCCTAGACATGAGGTGTGTGTTGAGGGGAAATTCTGTCTTAGGCTCCCAGACACTTTGTTTTTAAATCTTCTGACCGGAAGAATCCTCTGCTCAGAGCAGCGGAGGCAGCCTTTGGCAGCCTTTCCCTCCCCACGGTCCGGTCCCTGCTACTTACCTGCGTGGAGCGTGCATGTGTCTACCTGTTTTTAAAAGGGAGAGGCTTAAACTGAAGTTATCCCTTGGGAATTAGCTGGGAACCCCGCTAGCTTCCTTTCTGAGCCTCAGTTTCCTTAACTCTACAGTGGGCATAACAAGCACATCTCATGTGTTTACAGTGAAACCAAACAAGATAATAGACACTAAATGGACACAGCAGGCACTCCAGCAGCCTGCCCCCTTCCCCTGGTGGTCTCTGTGGGAAGGGGGCACAGTCCTTAGATTCTCAGTCTCTGTCGATTGCCTTCCTGTCTTTCCTCCCACACAAGAAAGGCAAATTTCTGAACTCAGAATTTTTCATCTACAACATATGAGTCCCCCATTAGCTTTGACTCACTCACCTTTTAAGTCCTGGGGGACCTGGAAAGACAGAGGCAGTGAGCGCAGCTTCTTTGGGGTGGAGTCTAAGCAGAAACCCCATCGGTCTCTGTTCTCATCTATCCCGGTTGGACTCTGCCTGCTCCCTCTTCAATCGCACAAAGACTAAACTGATAAGAGAACTTCAGAGAGTTCAGAGACACCGCCACCCCAAATCCCGCTGCAACAGAAAGGTGACGTCTAGAGACCGAGCTGGCGCTTGGCAAGGTGCACGGTAGGAGAAGGAAGCTCTGTGGCCCACAGGACCCAACATGAGTCCACTAACAGGACCCAACCTGAGTCCCCCAACTCACTCTTGCCACTGCCGCCTCCTCTCCAGCGCTGCCGGACTGGACGGTTTCAACCATCCAAAGGGCAGTGAAGGCTGCTCCTGCCCCGTGGGTGTGTCGCAGTTATAGGGAGTCCAGCCTGAAACCGGGTCCCTAAGAGCCACTCCAAACCCACCTCACTCCGAGCTCCTCCCCACTGAGCCCTTCACGTTTTTTAGTGCTCTGGGGCCGAGCAGGATGCTGCGCTCTGCAGGGAAAACGCTAACCTGTGGAAGTAATGTGCAGAGAAGAGACCCAGCAGCACATTCCCGGGCTGTCCGAAGAGGGAGCGGGACTGCCAAGCCAGCATCCCTACAGGCACCACGAAGGAGGGAAGTTCCTGCAGGAACCAGGCGACGCGTGCCGGCAGGAGGGGACCCGACGACACACTCTGGCTGTGTTTCCCATAGCTGGTGGGTTTCCCTAAGTACAGGGTCAGGGCCCCTATGGTAGCCAAAGTGGCGCTACCTGCTAGCACCGGGCCCTGGTGGCACACAGTCGGCATCTCGCCGGTGTTCACAGCTGGTGGCTGCAGCCCGCCCGCGTGGCGGTGAGCGCGGTCCCTTTATGAAGCTTCAGACGCCACCCCGCGTCCGCCCTTCGGACCTGGGTTCCCTCCCCCCCTCTAGACCCTTTCCCACGTGCCTCCCACCTTGGCGCTGCCCACTCTGGCTCTGCTTAGAAGCAATGACCATTTGGTCCGGCTGGCTCTTTGGGCTGCAGCTGGGACACAGGACCAAAGCTCTTACCGAGCCAAAAATTGTTGGGGGGGGGGGGGTTGGGCTTCCTCCGCCGGTGCCCTCCGTCTGTCTGCATCGATTTCAACTCCTTTCCTCCCTAGGTGGCCCTAGAATGATTTGCTCCTCACCCATCAGCTTCCAATTCTGCAACTTCCGAGAACAGGCAATAGCCCAGAAGAAGGCACTGATGCTTCTCCATCCCTGGCGCGCACTCGCAGCCCCTCAGCGCGTCGCCAGGCAGTGCGCACCACAGATCTCTCAGGCCAGGACTTCCCACCTGCCCCAGCTGCCGATGCTTCTTCCCTCCCCTCAGTTTCTTCATCGGACCTCAGACTGGACTGGTGCTCCGAAACCCTGCCATTCCCTCTGTGCTGAGCTCTGCTTCACCGCGATCCTCCCTCCACCCCTCAGGCAGGTGCCGGCCGCGAGGGTAAGCGCCCTAATTCTTCCGCGGTTTCCCTTCGCAGCTCCTCCGGAGAATCAGGGACGCCAGCCTTGGCTCGGGTTTGCCCTGCGGCAGTGACCCTGAGATTGCACACAGCAGCCCACCCCGCCTCCAGGTTCATCGAAGCTAGCTCAAACTCTGCCTGAAGTTTCGTGCTTCTCTCCGGGGACACACTTTCCCAGTTCTGAAGTTAGTCGGGCTCCATAGGATGGTGAAGATGCTGTCTGGACTGCCCGGCTCTTTTCCGCTTAGCTTTTCCTGTTCTTCCCCTTCCCCTTCCTCCAACCCCTAGACACCCCACCTCACTTCCATTCTCTACCTTTTCTTTCTTTTGTACCCAGCCCTTCTCGGCTGCTTTTTCTTCTCTCCCTTCCTTCCTCCCCCTCCTCTGCCCTCTCTTCCTGCCTTCCATCTTCTGGTCCCTGATTATTTTACTCCGATTACTGTGATTGCTTTGCTTTCTCCTCTGGTCCCTGCTTGGAGTACCATTCACCAGGCTTTCTCCTTTCCTCGCCCCACTCATAATTCCAGCTCAAAGACTGAAGAACTGCTCTCCCTTCCCCATCCACCCCAGCCAGTCCTGAGACTAGCTAAAAGAATGCCTAGCCCCAGTCTGCTCCAGGTTAGGGAAGTCTCACGTGACAGACGGCGGTGATGCTTCACTATAACATAGGACATTCTCTTGTTGATGACCAAGTAGTAGTAATACCACCTAGCTGCATTCAAAATAAAATAATAACCACGTTTGGTTGAAAATGATCAGCGCACAAAAACACCCAGACTGACTGGAGCCCTGAGGCAGTTTGAATAAAAATGGTCCCCACAGGTCCATAGGGAAAGCGACTATTTAGGAGGTGTGGCCTTATTGGAGGAAGTGTGGCACTGTGGCTTTAAGGTCTCAGACCTCTCCAGTCAGGCCTGGGGGCTCACTCTCTCTTCCCAATGCCTGTGGATCCAGATAGAGAACCCTCAGCTACCTCTCCAGCACTATGTCTGCCTACAAGTCACCATGTTTCTCACCATGATGATAATGGGACTAAGCCTCTGAACTGTAAGCCAGCCCTAGTTAAATGCTTTTCTTTGTAAGAGATACAGTGATCATGGTGTCTAGTCACAGCAATAAAGCCCTAAGATAAGAGCATGCCATGAAATAACCAGGTGTTGATATCTCAGCAGCTTCCTGAAGTTTGAACACTGGCTTTTTGGTTGTTTATGAGGGGAGTTGTGGGGGCGGGGACGGTCAGAGACAGAACAACCGTCCTGGCTGTCCTGGAACTCCACTTTGTAGACCAGGCTGGCTTTGAACTCACTGAGATCCACCTGCCTCTGCCTCCCAAGTGCTGGAATTAAAGGTGTGCACCACCACTGCCCAGCTGAACACTGGCTTTTTGTATGTTCAGCAGCTTCTCATTTTTTACCTGGCCTTAGAGATGCTCAGATCTAGATTGCCCGCAGAAAACCCAAGTATCAAAACTGCACTTTCTCCCTGCTAGAAGACCCCACTAAGCTGCCTTTCAAAAACTTCAAATTCAACCCACTTTTCTTCTCCTCCATCCTACCCAAATTTTCCCTCTGGGTTTTGGCTGTTACCTCTTTTCTACCTTCAATAACCATAACCTCCTTAGGAGGTTGGCTTGTTGAGTCAGGGAGCTATGGATGTCATGGTGTCATAATCAGAACACTGGTACTGCATTCCAAACCAACTCAATGGAATAATTTTGAAAGAATGAAATATTGACATCTCAGTTTCCCTTGTTATAGCTTTCCCAAATTTGAGTGTTCACTGTCCTTTTTATCCATGCTCCTAGAGCAACTTTTTGCCAATTAACAACCCACAATTAAAGTTAATTGCACGATAAAACCATTAGTCTTGTGTCTGTGGGTTGGCCAAGAGTGGCTGGCTGACCCAGCCTGAACTTAGCTGTTGTTGACTTTGTTGATACATTCATCTGTGGAACACCTCAGAGCACAATTTTAGTCAGGCCTTGGATCAGGAAGGGGCCTTAGCCCAAGCCCTCATCCTGGGAAAAGCAAACTAGACCCACCATTTCTATGTAATGTCAATAAAATATAATAACTTTAAAAAAACACACATAAGACCTGTTGAGGCAAAGGCCAAGACCTAGCACACTCTTGCTTCCTAGTCACCCTATTGGCCAAATCAAATCACATGACTGATTCATTTCCATTGTAGGAGCAGAAGACTTATTGCAAAGTTGCACAGCAAAGAGCACAGAGATAGAGAACTGAAACCAAAAAGGCAAGTGTGTGCATTAGATACACAAAAGAGGAGATCAAACTGCAAATGTCAAGCTTGATTGGTTCTCATAAAAGGAATATGTTCTCATAACCTACACCTAGGTCAAGAGACAAATCTTCAGCATCCCAGGGGCTCCCCTCCACCTCGCCACATTCTCTTACAGAATAAACCACTACCCTACTAACTTCAAATGCCGTAAATTAGCTTTTTCTGCTTCTGAACTTCATTTAAATGGGATCAGAGAGTATTTGCTTTTGTGTGTGTTTTAATGGCACTTGAAATTTATTTTACTCAGTGATTGTAAGACACAGAGACACAGAAATGATGGTCATGAAGGGAAAGCTGACATTCTTAGGTCCTTAGAAACAGGAGACATAGCATATCACACAAGACCAAGAAACAGCAGGGCCCACCAGGAAGCATGAAGACTAAACGGGTGAAGCAGAATAAGGGATAACTATGTTATGCCCAGTGGTTCGGGGGACAGAGGCTGACCTTGGCTGGCTATCTCTTGACCCTGGACTAATTAAAACTGGCATATAATAGCCAGAACTTAAAATCCAATAAAAGATATTTTGACTTGCTTATGAAAGGTATATTATGATCACTTAAAATTTTGGAAAATTGTCTTTCCCTGGGAAAGATAATTTCTGCTTTGTTAGCAAGACATAGCGTGTGTGTGTGTGTGTGTGTGTGTGTGTGTGTGTGTGAAGCTCATCCACGTTGCTGAAAATAGTTCTGAATTGTTTATTCTCAATGTGTAACATTACATTAAGAGAGTATATTCATTACAACTGACAAAAGTAGTGTTGTGCGTGTTCTAGCAAATAATGCTTGCTTGGAGTCAGAGGGCAGAGCTAGTCACTAACGAACCAGAGATGTCTGGAGGACTGAACAGAGAGACAGGGAGTGACGAGGATCCCGCCCTTTTGGACTGAGGATGGAGAGAGGTAGGAGGCAACTGGTGGCTGTTCCAAGTTCTCTGATCTCCCAGGTTCTTTTTCCAATATTTGACTCCCTATTTTTTAGTAATAAGGATTAACTAGGTTAACCCTTCAAAAAAGCAATGTAAGAAATACAATGTTAATTTAACCTCACAGTTGAGGTACAGTTCACTGTGGCAGGGTATTAGGTGGCCGGTCACATTGCAAGGCAGCGAGGAAACACAAATGCACACTGGCACTGAGCTTTCTTCCTCCTTTCTTCCCTTTTTATTCAGTTCGGGATCCGAGCCCATAGGATATCTCTGGCTACATTCAGGATGAGTTGTCTTTCCTCAGCTAAATCCCTCTGAAACACCTTCTTAGGTTTGTCCAGGGGTGTGTCATCTAGATGATTCCAAATGTAGTCAGATTAACAATGGAAACTAATAAAAAGTTTATCCTTGCTCATCTTGACACAAGCATCACTAAATCATAACATCAAAGGTTCATGGCAATATCAGAACACAATTTTTACATTTTTAAAACAGCTGAAAATTATACTTCCTATTAAGAAAAGGACCAAAAATGAGTACTTAATAAAAGTTAAAATCTGGAAAAGCATGACAATGTACACCTTTGACCACAATACTTGGGAGGTAGAGGCAAGGAGATACCTGTGAGTTCAAAGCCAGTCTGGTCTACATAGTGAGTTCCAGCCTAGGCAGTGCTCAGCCCTAAACTGAAGTAACCCTCACAAGACTAAGGGAACATCCTAGAAGATGGGAAGAAGAGAATGTAAGAGCTGGAAGATGGAGAAGAGTGCCAAGGGATGCTGTGCTCTGAACACGGCATGGCCGCTGTCCTCACGATTTCACTGTAGAGATAGCTGCCTGCACAAGAACCAGCCAATATTCCAGCAGGCAGCACAAACTGGCCTCAGCAGGTCATGAAAATATGTCTGAGGAAAGAACATGCAAGTGCAAGAAGGTTCTGTTGGGTATGTGGAGGTAGAGACGGGGGAGATAGGATCAAGATATATTGTGTGTATTATGAAGCTGTCAAAGAATAAATCAATGACATTTTTAAAGGGAATTTTTAAAGCAAAGTTAACTTGAAGATAGATTTTTTCCAAAAAGAAATGATGGAGGACAGTCATCAGCGACCTTCTAGATCA